TTTGTGGTGTTTGTTTTTTCAAAAAACAAGGGGGGGGGGGGGACCCCCCCCCCCCCCCCCCCCCCCCCCACACACACACACACACACACACACTGGTCTGCAAACACTTTTATTCAGGACGATTAAATTTTAACTAAAATTTAGGCGGAAGGGAGAGAGGAAGGGAGATGTACATGTACATGTATAATGTATCTTGCTTTTTCCTGCAAATAAGCTTTAAAAAAATCTAAAGGCTTTTACCAATACTTATTGATATCGGGTTTTTCTTGTTCCAAGGGAAATTGTTACATTTCACTTTTAACTTGTGCTCGGTTTATGTAATAGGGGAGACCGGGGCTAGTTGGACCCCGGGGTAAGTTGGCCCCCCATCAAGCCCATCAAGGCTCTTTAATAAAGTTACTTTAAGATGCTAAGTTATTTCATTTGGACATACTGCCGTCGCTTTCTTTGGACTATACGGTCACTTTACAAAATGATGTGATAAATTATTTTACCCCATAGATACTTTGTCATAAATTGGTGGGGGGCCAACTTACCCCGGGGTCCAACTAGTCCCGGTCTCCCCTACGCTCTTATTCGTCATCATTCTCGTCTAATCTTTCTAATACTTTATCTGTATACTTACGTGGTAGCAGCTGTTGGGTTGTCTTCACCTACACCCCCCTCGGTACGGTCCTCATCAGACATTGTCTATGATGTCACCACCTAAAACGGTGCACTAGTATCAAGTATTTCTTCTCAGATACTTTTAAGACAAGTTTTATATGGACCTTAAATACGAACACTCAATCAGATGAAATGTCAACGCTTCTCTGCAGTTTTAGCCATATTCCAAGGGCTCATTTAACCAAAGGTGACGAAGTAAATCTTACACGTTAGGCTTAGGTAAAATATTCTTATTTTTTGGTTACATGAACGTACTCGCATTAACAGTTCATGTGACTTCATTTGTATTATGGTTGCTCCATAAAAGGCAGCGTGTGGTATTTATTAAACTTACCTGTCTGCCACTCGGTTGCTATTTGATGTAGTTCTCAATCGATAAGCACATGAAAAACATTCTCTTCCAAGAACTTCTTTATTTAAAACTGTTGGCAGCAACGAGTGCCCAATATACAATCAACATTACAATTGATATGTTGTTTGCATTTTTAACGCGTCATCGCACCTGAAAAGACTTGCCGTACCTTTTGTCAATAAAAAAGCGCCGCTGCTGTATTTGCAAATCTAATATGCGACAGTGTAAACCTAATAAACAAAAACGAGCTGAGGCGTTATCCCTTGACCTTAGTCATGTATGAAAATAAGAGTCCACATTAAATTATATGATAAAAAATAAATTTATAAGCAGGCATCGTATAACTATACGTACGTGTTACTCAAGACAAAAACGTACTTTTTACGACGACGACGCATCACTGCGCTAAACATAACCCTTCACCCTGGTGCTGAATATAACTGAACTACGTGTTGACGGAATACCAACATAACAGGATATTTGTATTTGCAAACCCATTGTGTGGCAGCGTATAAATCTGATAAAGGAGAACGGACCTGGACGTTATCGTTGTACATTTATTACGTATGAAAACAAGGTTTCACAACAGGTAACTTAGTAAATCAAAAGGAATTAAACGCCACATAATCAAACTCAAGAAAAAAATTGATTCAATTCAATTCAATGTACTTAAAGAAATTCTAAAATTTTATACATCATTTCCCAAAAATGATATTTTTTGCTTAGTTTCTTACTTGAGAGACGTATACTCCAAGCGTCCAGGGTCTCTTGGATCTCATCAAATTTGTATCATGTTCAAAATTAATTTGTTTTCCGTTACGGTTTACGCATGTGGATAGTTTTTTTTCTTTTTTTTTATTTTGAGCAGTGGACCCAGTGGCTGCCAATAAAGCCTTTAGATTTCGATTTCCAAACTTTGTTTTTCGGCTTTGCAACTAGTAACTTTCACTGTATTATTACTTTTATTAATATTTTATTATTGTTATAAAATATTTTCTGCACTGAAGACTTAGGGAGCGAGCGAGCGAATATGAATGCACGTGCGTGAGTATTTGTGGGTGTGTATGAGAGGAGGTTCTTTTCATTACTCTACTTTTTGTGTTAATTTTCATACTACGCACACTTTTTTATTTGTTTTATTTATTTCAATAGTCAAAACAACATTTTAAAAAGAAAAAACAGGAAGAGCTGTTCTCATCTGTAAAACTGATTACATTCAATAGACTTGTGAAGATTCTTTTATCTATAGCTACTTATATTTGTCTGGTCTTACCAGCCAATATTTCGTCTGCTTGCAGTCAGATTTCATCAGGGAATGAGGTTGTGATAGACCAGACAAATTTAAGTAGCTATAGACAAAATAATCTTCACAAGTCTATTACAATCCCAGTGGGCAATTTATGTTGTTTTAACGTTGATAATACGTTGGATATACATTGGATTTGCAAGTTGACTCAACGTCAGATAACAACATTGTATCAACCCCAGTTGTTAGACAACATTCTTGCATGAAAAGACATTAAAATGATCTGAAATGTTTTTATTTTTGGTACAAAACGCAGGTACACAATTATAACATACACTGTAAAAACATCCAAGTGCCTGCTTTGTCTGATTTTTTCAACGCATTAGGTCCTAAGCATGTTTTTCACCTAAGCATGGTACACCCTTTTAGCCTGGATGTGTTTAGCAGTAGGTGTTTAGCAGTAGGACATGTTTAATGGCTAAATATATGCAGGTTTACATGTATGGCCTTAAAGTTAAAATTTCCAAGGTTCAGATTAATATATATATAGTTATTTTCTTATACACTCTAATGTAAATGAACGCAACGATTCGTAGCATATATTCTATTATCCGTCGCTGTGTTCTAATAAAGAACACCACGTGTTCTCGTCAGAATATCTTTCTGTTCTCATCAGAATACTTGGCGTTCTTTAGTGTTCATTTTGAGAACATGTATGATGTTTATATCCATAGTGGTATAAATTTGTCATAGGCTCCATGTAAGAAAATGCTTTTTTATAGTGTGCTAAAAATTTTTTAGGACATTCAATGTTTTGGAATTGAATGCCGTCCCCTTGTAGTTAGCAACTACGGCGATTTACAGCGTCATACGGTACTCTGGCATAATTTAATCAATGTTCATTGAAATGTACAGAAAAAAAGCCCTGTTCAATGGAAATTAATAAAAACAAAAGTGATTCAAATATATCTGGTGTAATGTTAATCCATTTGACAACTGTTTCTTCTTGATAACACACCTAATCAGTGTTCCAAATCAGAACACAGCGTTCTGTTCTCCGACACATTCTAGAACGCGGACATTAGTACAAGGTTTCACCGCCAGGTGAACAATGTGTACTATTCTGGCGTGAGCAGTTTTACCTCCGATTCTTGTCTGCTGCAACGGCGTGCGGTTTAGCCAAACAGTGTTTATAGTAGTGAAGGCACTCCATATTCCACACCTTTTCACCATGTCAGATAACTCCAAGTGCAATCTTGTGCAATTGCCAATCACAGTTATCAACTTTTTAGCAAACATTTTATTCGCAACCATCAACTTGACTCAAAAGTTGCAGTGGCTTGTTGTATCGGTGTATGTGCCTACACCACAAAGATGGGAAGAGTTATAAAATGCATGTTAGGAGGAAACATCATGAAATGCTTCATCGGGTCTCAAGGCATAAGCATAGTCCTGGAGCAGGATGGGACTTGTTGTAATCCTTCAGCCTGGCCCTACATCCCATGAGCCTTTCAAGATTGATGATACTATTTTTCTGAATGTGGATAAAGGTATACATGCTTACATAATACAGTAAAATTTCCTTCAGTTTTCGAAAGTCTGCTTTTTTGCACACAAGAATGCCATACTACATTTTGGCTGGAAATTATTTTTAAAAGTAATGGCAAATAAAAATTCGGTTTCTATTAAAAATGTCAAAAGCATTGTTTTCCTGTATGTAATGATGACTCAATTGTTCTGTGTTGGTAAATTCTGTATATTTCATTATAAGTTCATGCATCTCTTTAGACATATATCAGTCATTTTATTTCAGTCATTTTCCGCTACAGTACTAATGTTCCATGCAGTTACTTTTTTATTATTAGATTTAATTAGCTTCAGATAAAAATTCTGAAGAAATTCTAATGTCACCACTTCCTCCATTCAGTGATTTGGTGAAGTCCACCTCTGTGTCAATCGGACCCCTGCAAGAGTGTGGTCTTTATGATCACAGAAGTGGCCTCCTTTTGCTACAACAAATGGCCAACAGTTGGGGACCAGTCTCACTATCTTGTGATTGGGTAGAAAATGTACCAACGATATCCTGTGGTTGCATTGAAAGGACCTAAACCATGGGTAAGTTTTTTTTTATCCGCTTTGAACAAAATAAACTGATAATGTTTTGGAGGTAGGCCTTCAGGTATGCAAGTTTCATTGAAAGTAGACTAAAGTGGATCTTCATTGTCTTCATAACAACTGAAAAGGCTCTTTACCACAGTCTCTTGAGGTGCCCAACTGTGAAACATTTTTTGTGAAAATTAGACAACAATCGTGGCTCTAAAAAGATTAAGATACTAAAAGACTTATTGTAACGAAAAGCCATTGTTAAAAAGAGGTGGTTTGGTTGTTGATATATTATTCAATATTACACTCATTTCAGCAAATAGTACCTATCATTCCAGCACTGAAAACGATGAAAACATACATGAACGAACCAGTGGTCGAGCGACATGTAGAAAGTCCTGAGGGTGTAGAGCGTCACATGCAAGAACTGCAGACTGCTTGGACTAAGAAAAATTCGAAGCATGTAAAGGCGTTGCTGAGGAGCACACAGCTACACCAAGTGGCACTCCTGACTGAGGATGATATGGGACTTGGTATTGAAACGACATTAACGAAGTATCCATGCTTCAAAGAAAACACTTACAGTATGTAAGTTTTAAAGCTGCTCATAGCTAGTTTTGCACATGTTAAAATCCAATGTCAAATTTAAGCTTTTTATTTACTTACTTTAAGAAATCTTATAGATTACAGTGTCAAAATAAAGAACATGCTGCCAAATTTGTATGCCGGGTCTCGTCTCTCTGCTTCGACTGCCTGACCACCCTTGTTTCATGGTTTGATCCACCTTGGTCACATGTTTAGCCACCATAATGTTTGGCGTGTTTATACAGATAAAAAGTTCCTGTGTTGCTTGTGTTGATGCGCATTTTTACGGATGTTGTCAGCCTAGAACTTTGGCTCTTTCTTTCAATAATCTGATCGTTAGTAATACGTTTTAGGAAAGGCAAGCTGATGTGCATGTTATTATAAATGTATGATTTTTGAGCTTTGTTTACTTCTTGTATTCAGAACGATGATTTAGTAATCACTTAGTTGATATTGTGTAATCAGCATATTGTCGGTTTCATATGACTAAAGAACTTTAGAGCAATCACTGATGTGAAGAACATTGAAGTGTGTAACATTTTTATTGTAATTTTTGTCCTCTTACAAATAAATGCATTTTATTGAGGAACACCAAGTGTTCTAGATTACTTTCAGAATAGCGAGTGTTCTAAATTCCTTTTAGAACACATCATAGTGTTCTCAAAAAGTAACATTTGAACACGTAAAAAGTGTACTGAATTTACATGTAAATGTGTTCTAAAATGTGTTCTATATTTCACAACGCTTACTGTTCTAGCGTCAGAACACTGTTTAAAGCGTTCTCAAAATGTAACATTTGAACACGTAAAAAGTGTTCTGAATTTACATGTAAATGTGTTCTAAACAAAACACAAAAAAGAACATAAAAATGTGTTCTATATTTCACAACGCTTAGTGTTCTAGCTTATTCACCCTAGTGTTAGCTGACCTTGCAAGGAATTCAGTTTATTGGAATGTATTTCTGAATAACAAGTTAAGAAAATTCACTAGTTCACTACAGACACAAAACAACTGTCACTTTTACTTTAAAGCACCGTTTTTAATATTTTGATAAAGTTCGTTACAGTATTGATAAACACAGTATCACGTTTTCAATAATTAATATTTTAACGACCTAACAACAACGTTGAGTCAACTTTAC